TTGAATAGGTGTTTAAACACCAGAGAAATTTAAACATGAAGATGTATGTAGTTATATTGTTCCATTTAATTGGAAAGTAAATTTCAGAAATCTTTTATGTTGATTTTTAGTTTATTTTGAATTATGTGACATGAGATGTCATTAATAATTATTTTACTTGCGTAGTAGAATTTGTTAAACCATGAACCATTTTATTAATATGGGGGTATATCTCTTGCATTAGTTGAGATAATTTAATTTTCTTCTGTCACCAATATTTTTAAGACAGTGACATTTATTTGTAAATGAGTTGCAAGAATGTATACAATCAATTGGGTTTTTTGAATTGTTTGATTCTTAGGCAAAATTTTTATGAGGATATGATTTTGTCAAAACTTTAATTCTGATTTTTGTAGTCATAATTATTTTGGATTTTTCATTTGAAATTTATGAATCATGATTTGAAATTTCTGAATCCAGCACATCATAGACAACAAATGATGAATGTCATGTTACTAAATTCAGTCTTACCACAGAATTTGTGGGGGGAAGCAATATTGTCTGCTAATTTTGTTCTTCGCAGAATACCCCATAAGAAAACCATCAGCACTCTTTATGAATTGTGGAAAGGTCGACCGCCTTCCTACAAATACTTAAAAGTGTGGGGGTGTTTGGCAAAAGTTGAAGTTCCTGTTCCTAAAAGACTAAGATTGGACCAAAAACAGTAGATTGTGTGTTTATTGGTTATGCTCAGAATAGTAGTGCATATCGGTTTTTGACTTATAAATCAGAAATACCTGATATAAATGTGAACACTATTATAGAGTCAAGGAATGCTGTGTTTTTTGAACATGTCTTTCCTTACAAGAAAGGACAGGAATTAAGTTCACAGAAAAGAACTTATGATTGTACACAAAGTCAAGAGACAAATGACAATCAAACACAAGAGACTAGTAATAGTCTCGACCAACAGGATTTAACTGATGATGAACCAAGACGAAGTAAGAGAGCAAAAACATCAAAATCCTTTGGTCCAGATTTTCTAACATACCTGTTAGAAAATGAACCTCAAAGCTTTAAGGCGGCAATGACAGGTCCTGTAGCACCTTTGTAGAAAGAGGCTGTTAATAATGAAATTGAATCCATTATGCAAAATCATACTTGGGAATTGGTGGATCTTCCACCAGGTTCTAAACCTCTTGGATATAAATGGATATTCAAGAGAAAAATGAAAGCAGATGGTTAAATTGACAAGTATAAAGCAAGGCTTGTAGTTAAAGGTTACAGACAAAAAGAAGGTCTGGATTATTTTGACACATATTCCCCTGTGACAAGAATAACATCCATTCACATGCTTATTTCTATAGCAGCATTGTTAGATTATGGCTACTGCTACTGAAACTGCAACTGGAAGTGGTACTCCGATTGTTACACCAACACCGGTCCCTATCCAGAACCATGTTCATGTACCAATCAATCATGGAGAAAAATCGAAAAAATTTAACGGTACTGAGTTTAAGAGATGGCAGCAGAAGATACTGTTCTATCTTACAATTCTTAATTTGGCTCGGTTTCTCCATGAAGAGGCTCCAGCACTTAAAGAGGGTGAAAGTGATCGGCAAGTTGTTGCCGCTGTAGATGCTTGGAAACATTCAGATTTCCTGTGCAGAAACTACATCCTAAATGGCCTTGACAATATGCTGTATAATGTATACAGTCCTCT